GTATAACATAATGATACACAGAAAATATGAGCTGAGCACATTATATGAAATTCCAGACCAGTCCATTTAGATAACTAAATCCAAACTGGTAACAAAAGCTTCTACAACTCCCGATAGCATGCAACTCAACATCTAAAGTTCATGTGGTCAATAACCATATCCTAAACCAATATTTTTGGTCTTTATTAAGTTATATACATCCGTTATATTACATCAAATAAGAAATTTCACAGTTCGTTTAGGTTGCTAAACAAATTAACAACTTCATCATTCCTCCTTCTTTAACAGTATGTATAATCACGTGTTTATTTTTCATGATCCACCTTTTAAGGTTAGCACACTAGCTTATACTAACTAGTTTCAAGCTTCAATAGGTTAATTTTAAACCTTTAAAACCTCCCACAACTTTCCCAAAATCACATCCAAGTCCCTGAAACCTAGAAAACCGCCTGAAAACACCCGTAGGTGTTAACAACCAGAGGAGCCGGCTCTGGAAACCCTTGGAGCCGGCTCCTAAGCTTCTAGAGCCGGCTCTTCCTCATGAAGAGCCGGCTCTCTCTTCATGGGAGCTGGCTCCCATCATTAGGGAGCCGGCTCTCTCCCTGAGAACCGTCTCTGCTTGCCTTTGCTTCGTCCGTTCATCCCCTTCACTTCCGACGAAGGTTCCAGTCACTGTCCCAATTGTTTTTAAACTTCTTAGGGTCTAATTTAAATCTAAACAATCCTAGAAACTCCTCACATTCCATTAGGAAAATAATTTACAGAAGTTTAATACATAATCCAAAACAGTTTATGCACGAACCAATTTCAGTTATTTAAAACTGGCAAAATTCCAAGTCTCTGTCTGAATTGTTTTTTTAAACTTCTTAGGTTCTAATTTAGATCCAAACAGTCCTAAAAACTCTTTAAAATCCCTTATGAATTTTTTTGACAAAAGCTTTGCCACAATCGAAATAGTTACAGTTTAAACAAAGGCACACTACAGATTACAGTTTGATTTAATCATGCATAAGACATCCATTTTAATGTTTAATTAACTTCCTGGAGACCATTTAGAATGCACAGAACATAAGTTTACAGGAGAGGAATAGACTGAAACTTGCCTTAAGATTCCGGTTTGAAACCTTCATCGCCGTTGCTAAATTCTGCAACGAACTATAGACTACCTGCAACTCTCCCACTGTTCCAGTTTTATTCCATAAGCCATCGACTCTTTCTTCCTTGATCCCACCTTCAATCCATGGCTGCAATCCTAATTGATTCTCTCAATTTCCCTCTGTTTTTCCTTCTCAAGAAACCTCTCTGTTTTTCCTCTCATAAACCCTTACGTGAATTGAGTTTTAATTTTCTCACCCTAGCAGACGTATAAGATTTATATATATACGTCCCAACCTTAAGTCAAATTATATAACCGTATATTTATAAGATTTACGTAAAACCTAATTTAAGTCGGTGACTACACGAAAATAAAACCCTAAATCTAAACCATAAATTCAACACACCTAAATTATATAAACTACCAAAAATTACACGTCAATTAAGTCACTAATAATCAAAACTTTAAATTAACCAATAATTAAATTAAAAATAATTACAATGAATTTAAACAAACACAATTATCAATTAAGCAAATAAAAACCTTTAAACACGTAGCCAGATAAATCATATTTAAATGCACATAAATCAACTAATCAATAAATTAATAAAATGCACATAAAATAAATAAAGAAATTCCAGTTATATCCTTTTAAAAATTAGGGGTATTACATCCCGCGTCCCATCGAAGCTCTCAAGAGTTGGCATCTTGAATTTGCTAGGTAGAGAACAACTCATAACAGCTAGGCTGAATGCTAGGTTGGTCTTCTGTACCAGATCGTTCACTGCGGCCTAGCCCTTCCCTTTCATTGCTTGCATGACATCTTCTACCCTAGCTCTCAGATCTTGTATCTGTAGATCGAAATGAGTGACGTCCTCAGTCTTGCCGCCAACACAACCAAAGGTATCTCCATGGAGCTTGGCGGTATTCCGTTTAGGAGACCGATGGCGATGGCTTCTCTGTTGACCCCCTATTTGACTAAGCTCAGCGTCGTTGTCAATCCTACGGGAGTCATTGTTGGGTACTTCACTGTTCTCCACCTCGTTGGGGGTGGCTAAGCATTGCAGAATCATCGCATTTTGCTGGATTAATTGGTTCATTCCTTCATCTAAGGTTTGAAATTGTTGTTCCAACGCTGCGACGCATTCTTGATCGTTTAGGGCGACAGGAGGTTGCCTCGTCGAGTCCCCTTGATTAAAAGTCTGTAACACTTTGTCCTCACCAGTAGCCAGACCAGATCGCAATCGAACAATACTTTGTTTAGAGAACTAAAATTGTTTTCCACAGACGGTGCCAACTGTTGATGCAGAAATCTGTACAGTCTGGAGTCGAGGGTGTTTCTTGCAAGACAAGAGAGAAGTGACAACCGGTGTGGTGCCGGTCAGGTGCACTCCAACGATCAAGTTAGTACTTGACGATTGAATATCCAATAAAGGATTAAATATATGATTTATGGCGTACCCCCAAACGTCGATTAGCCCCCCTTTATTTATAGGGCTTAGATCAGAATGTCACGTAGAGTTACCGTTGTCTTCATCCTTATCATAATCTGTAGGCTTATTCCTTATCGTAATCTGTAGATTTAATCATTATCGTAATCTGTAATCCTTATCGTAATCTGTAGATTTAATCCTTAAAATAATACCTATCTCAATCTTATGAAATAGCGTGTTAATTTAACAACCTTCCCTTATATACGGATATTTAATTTCTACATCCAACAGCTGTTATTTTGCAAATAGACATTATACCGTCTAATATATATATATATATATATATATATATATATATATATATATATATATATATATATATTTATTTATTTATTTATGAAAAGTGGTAAAAGTTTTGACTCAATATATTTATCTTTTATTTATTTAAATATTTTAGAAAGAGAATTTCCAAAAAATATATATATATATTTTAGAAAGAGAAATTATATGTTTATCAATCACTAATTAAAAATCTTTGTTGAACTTGTAAAAAAAATCGATACGCCAGTTTAGGATTACTATTTTAAAAATGATAATAAATATAAAAAAATAAAAAAATATATATTTCTAATAACGGCGCTGCAATCTCTTTAAGAAACAATTTTACCAAACACCGGTGAAAATTCACAGAAAATCTGGTGTAAGTGTTCCGTCAAGTAAACCTATGTTGTGATTCACTATTGCTATTTGTCTCTATCAATAGTTAGGGATGGCAACGGGGCAGGTTTGGAGCGGGTTTCCCTAAATCCCGCCCCGTTTAATTTTTGTCAAGTTCATGCTCACCCTGAGATCCGCGACGAATTGAATTTTCATGTCCAATCCCGCCTCGTTGGGAAATACTGTGCCCCGTACCCGCCCAGCTAACAAATTTTTTTCTCCCACTTTTTGGAACTTAAGCTCCTGCTACTTAAATGTGGAAAGCCTGGGAATGGCACAACATAAATGAAATTATGTATCCCAACAAAAATACAAAAATAACATGCACATAACATAATTTAGAGAACATAATAAACAAAGATGCAGAGAACATAATAAACAAAAATAAAACCCAAATTAGGATTGTAAGAGATGAGTAACTGGGTAAGCCGCTAAAATAAATTATTAATATATATATATATATATAATATAGTTATATGCTTAGCTGGGCGGGGCGGGACGGGGCCCTAGGATATGTATACTAACTCTTACCCGTCCCGTGACTCGTGACGGTTACAAAATTTATATTCATGCCCACCCCAACGGTATAAAAAGTGTTCCCATATCCGTTATTAACGGAACGGGACGGAACAGTAAAAATTGACACCCCTATCAACAGTCGGCCTACCACACATTCATCAAGCTATGAATTCTTTGTCTTCATCCACTAGTTTTTGCGTGTAAATCTTGTTGTTTCTTTAGGATAATCTAGTTGATAGGATCTTCTTGGTTAGAAGGCCAGTTTGACCAGTCCATACAAATCTTTCAATGTATGACTTTAATCTGCCCTATATTAATAATCGCATGTGCACGAATAAATCGATTCCCAAAATGCTATGAACTCTGTATATTTCTTTGTGGAAGCTGAGAATAATTTCACAAATGAGATCTCACCTGCTTATATAGGCATTTGAACTTTTAGATATTTACAATAGATATTTCTTGATTAGTGTTCTAAAATCTTCAAAAAGTATAATTTATACAATGCTAAAATATTTTAGAAAATATTATACACATCTATATAAATTTAGACAACTCCATATTATTTTAGGGAATTTATATATATAGCATTTTTCCTTTTAATTTAGTATTTCTGAAATCTTACTTCTATGTATTATTTTTGGTACCCCTTAAGCCATAAAGCCCATTCAACTTTGCATTGGAAGAGGCTTTTAGAAGCTCCAATCACTTTTAAATATGAAATGAGGAGACATGAACCGAGATATGCCATAGTCAAAGTGTTAAGACTATTTTGCCCCAAAAATTGAAACTTATAAAGAATGAGCCCAACAATACACACTCATTACTGTTTGGAATGAGATTCTGAAAATAGCAAAAAGCAGCTTTTGAAAAGTCTTTGAATAGGGCTCTTAACGGGACTGGTTTGATGGCAATCAGGTGAATTGGAAAGACATAAACCTTTTGTATTTAATCACTTAAGTCTGCTTTCAAGGATTTCAAAAAAAATATTAGTCTTCTGGAGAGAATATTTTGGAAAGAAGGTTCAGTTGCAGTATGTTTAACTATGTATAAAATGACAGTCTTTTGAGAGATTTTAGAAGATGATTTTTGCAGTCTGGTTTAAATATGATGTTACAAATGTATTTAACTATCAATCCGAATCCACACATAAATTTAGCACACCTTACCATTGAGCTATTTTAATCAAATTAAGCACATCACAGCTACAAAGATATTGCAATTAAAAACAGAAATCATGGGTGTTTGTTGCCTAAGGAACGCAAGTAGCTGAGACAAACTTGGAAGTAATTGACCAGCTTTTCTCTTGGTGGAAGGCATTCCTTAATGAGTGGAATTTGGATGAAATTTTGAGCCCATTCATGGAGGGAAGGAAATTTTTGGGCGTCAAGTAGCTTCATGTCGCCGTCTTCTTCCATGAAGTCGAGCCAAAAAGGCATCCAACCCACTACCAGGTCCATAAATCCTATCTCTTCTCCTCCAAAATACTTCTTCCCTTCAATCTGTTTCTCAAGAAATGCTAGAGATTCTTGTGCACACTGTATGGCCTTTTCTTTCTCTTCACCTTCAGCCTTGCAAGCTCTCCATATACCAGACACACACTAAAGCAAATAAGAAAACACAACATGTTCACACTAAAATTAAGGCTCATGTCATTCATTATACATTTCATCATTTATTCTGTTATAATAATAAATATATAAAATACAAAATAAATACAAAGTCAATTGAATGTCTCTTGGATCAATCCGTTTCAGGTCCTGCCGACACATTCACTTTGGTACGTATAGTTAAAAAAAAGACTTTCAGATTTAAAAAATAAATAAATAAATAAAAATTAGACTTCCACGTTTCTAAAACTAAACAATATAATAAAGGGTATAGTTTGTTAAAGGTTTTATACAGTACAAGTTATATAGGAATCCAAGACAGACATTATAAAGAAGTAAAGAACAACAGTATCTGATCCATTTTTCTCTGTTTTTGTTGGAATACAAATTTAAAGTCTAAACTGATAAATACTTTTCTGATGTCGGATCAAACCCGATCCATTTCATGGGAAAAAGAAAACGAGAAACCTGGAAAATGAATACATATATGTACCTTCTCATCAGCAAACTTTGCCCAAAAACGAGCCGTGGCTCTCTCATAAGGATCTTGAGGCAGCAATGGGTTGTCCTTCCATGTCTCATCAATGTATTCGAGGATGACGAGGGACTCAGCAATGGGTTTGTCATCATGCACAAGCACTGGGACCTTCTTGAGAACAGGGTTGAGCTTGAGAAGAGTAGGACTCTTGTTTGATAGGACTTCTTCAATGTATTCATACTCAACGCCTTTCAGTTTTAGAGCCCATTCAACTCTCGGGCAAAATAGGCTTGTGGTAACCCCTATCACCTTCACATCTCCCATTCTAACAAAATCTGCAAAACCAATACTCAACTTCAACTTTCTCATTGTGTGATACTTATATATATATATATTGTATTCTGTTTTTCTGCGAAGATGGCTCTCTTTTGAATTGGTTAAAGAAAGAAATAAAATAAAAACATGCTTCGCACGTAGACAAAAAAGAAAGCATTTTATAGTGTGCGCGCGCGCCGACAATTAGCTGTTTAGTCTCCCTAATTCTATTTTGATATTATCCGGAGATAAAATGGAGTGCATGTGGAGCAGATTGATCCTGTAAATCCGGTTCTACGTCTACATTTCATATCAAAATCTATATTTTGAATCTAAATCTGAAGCGAAACCTATGTTCATAGTTTATCAAAAACCTAGGATGTGGCCAAATAAAGTTCTAACACCTGTTATAAAGTAATTTTATTAAAAGATAAATTCATGTGTCACTAAATTGTTAGATCTATTTTTTTCAATTAATCTATTGTAAATAAAGTGCACAAGCCTCCACTTGTATTATGTATAAATAATTAATTAAAAATATTTAATTAGGTTATTCACTACAACAAATCGATACAAGTATCACCGGTCAATTTCTAAATAGTTTTAGATATTTTAAGTCTTTGACAGTAAAAGTGCCCAAAAAATTCTAGTCATATACATAATAGTTAAATACTCTCTTGAAGAAAAAAAAAAATGTTAGATTTTGTAAATTGAACAAATAAGGACATTTTATCAATTTAAAAATTAAAATACTTAAAACCTTAAGACAAAATAAAAATAAAAGATAATGATCTCAATTTTTAAAGGTATTTTGAAATTTTTATCAAAAAAAAAAAAAAATGATCAAAATTGAACATCAACAAATATTAAGGGGACAATTTACACATATTTTTAAATAATAAGGATTTATAAGCACATACTTAAATAGCAAGGATGTTATTTATTCTTTACACTTTATCCTTTCTTAAATCTCAGACATGTTTTTCATTTAATAGGAGATTTTTTACATTTTTCCTTTATAGAATTGGGTCAGAGTACCTCATAATTCACCACTACTAGATACATGTTGTTCTCTATCCTATATACACATTGATCATTAAAAAATTCTCTGAGATTTCCTCCAATTAAATTAAATTCGGACCTCCAACCTCCAAATTTGCGTTTTACCCTTTTGAATTTAAGAGAGACAGGAAGGAAAAAAATAAAAATAAAAAAAACACGACGTATTTGGCATGACCTTCAAAATTTGAGCTAATATATAACCTATGCTTTTATTTGATTTGTTTACTGAATATATAAAAATAAACAAACTGAGTTTTCTTTTCTTTTATTTTTTTTTTAGTAAAAAAGAGAAATTATTAATTTAGTATGCAATATGCATGTGTTGACTTTTTGAGCTAGAGCTTTATTTATTTATTTTTATTATTATTTTTTGCAAGCCAGAGCTTTATTAGTTCACCTAATAAAGAAAGACGGAAATTTTGTCAGCAAAGATGATTCAGAGATTAGTATAATGTTATGTTGTGGTTGTTTTAAAATATGTGTGTGTGTGTGTGTGTTTGACCAATGAAATAAGTTAATAGTTTGAATAACTAAAAAAAGATGGGATAAATTGTAAAATTTACATTTTAATATATGGATTTATGCACCGACAAATAGGTGCCCACGAGATTCGGGATCTGGAACCCTGCAACATATTTGGAGCAAATCAATACAAAATTCATATTCAAACTTTTCTAAAATTCATATTCAACCTTTTCCAAATTTTGAATTTAAAATTATAATTCAATTTTGATAAATAGAATAAGATTTCTGGTCAAGCTTTTTTGTTCAATTTGTTAGTTAATTGTTACAAATGGGATTTGTTTGACATCGAATTTGAATAGAATTGAAATATATATAAATAAATAAATATACAACACTACCTAACAATTTAAATTTTATAATAAATAAATAAGCACCCACATGTTACACTAATCTCCTGAAGTTCAAAAGTGAAATTTTTATCAAACCTTCTCTTCTCTAATAATTCAAGTCTAAAATCTTTACAAGAAAGAAAATATAATTTTAAAAATAAAAAGGTGAAAATGGAAAGCGAGCTTCTTTGCAGACCATTGATGTCAATTTCAAATTTTATATATATATATATATATATAAGTGTGTTTACTGTGTATACTTGAACTTACACATACCAATACTGGAGTGGAAAAGCGGAACGTTCAAAAATAAAGTGGATCATATCTATGTGAGCCGAAATCCAAAGGGGATTGAACTTCAAAAAGTTTGAGTAGTGTAACTCTGCCTTGCTTTCTAACTAGGGCCGGCCCTGGCCCAAGGCGAATAAGGCTATCGCCTTGGGCCTCAAATTTCAAAGGGCCTCAAAGTTTGAGTCCCATAGGGGATGGAAAAAAAAAAAAATTAAGTTAGGACAAGTCTTGGTCGCCTTGGGCCTCAATTTTTTTATTTTTTTTTTTAAGTTAGGGCAAGTTTCAGACGACGCAATCTGCTTAGACACTCCGCAGGGCGCAGCCTCCGCTATCGCCTCAGGTGACAAGGTATGTTCATCCTCTTTCTCTTCTCTGTCCTTTTGCATGAATCGATCTTTTATATATGTTTCTTTCTTTCGTTCATCTCATCATTTGATTTGTTCTAACTTTGGTTCGTTTGATTCGGGCCTTTACCTTTGTTCCAATAGTGAAAAGTAGCTTCCAAACTAGGTTTTTTTTTGTGTGTGTGTCACTGTGTGTGATGGCTATCAAAAGCTGAATGAATATATTTTGGTTCTCTTAGTATTTTAATAAATGTATGCCTTTCTACATTTCATGGCGATCGAGTCCATAATCTATGGCAGGTACTTTTTTTTATTTTTTCCTCTCCATAATTCCACTCCAATCTCACAACAGCAGCAACCATACCCCTTTTCCTCGTAATTTTTTGCATTTTCACATTCAATCCTACGAAAATTAAGGATCCCTTCTAGTGGGTTGAGCCTTTGAGGTAATAATTAACTTTTTCGATCTCTAAATTATGCTCATTCTTAAAAGTGCCAAATTAAGGGTTTTTTTATATTTTATTTTTATTACCACCATTATTGATGTTATTTGAAGTTGGCTCAGCTAGAATTTCAGCTAATAATACTGTCAAAGCACTTGCCATCAGAATGTACCAACACATGGAAATCAAGAGCAGGCTTTAACAAAACAAAAGTTAATGGTTTTTCTATTAATTTGCACAGGTCTTCTGTAGCAATGATCAACCAATCACTGGTACTAAAGTTGATTCCTCATCCTGAAATCAAGAAAGGGGTAATTGGCTCCCAAAAAAAAAAATCAAACACAAAGTGTAGTGTAGTTAATACAAAGAGTGAAAGACAAAACTATATATGATAGTGGATGCCACATATAACCTAAAAGTCCCACTACTTCTTCAGTACTACAAGTTCAGCCTCCTATAATATATATAGTCACCTCATCTCCACATAGTTTTGTCATCTGTAATCATCAAATTTTAGTAGCTATATAAACAATGAATGTAAAAGAAGCTGCAGTTTTCTGTTCTCTAGTAAACTGTTCTCTTCATTTTTTATTTTGTGCCTGTGAAAATTTCGCACTCTTTAATTGATAGATTTATTGTCATTAGTTAGCTGTCTTATGCACACTGCACATGCGCACAATTATTTATTGGTGATGATAGATTTATAGTTTTTAGTTAGTTGTCTTATGCAAACTGCACAAGCTCACAATTATTTATTGGTGGTGATAAAAATTTATAGTTATTAGTTAGTTGTCTTAAGCACACTACACAGGCGCACAATTATTTATTGGTGGTGATAGATTTATAGTTATTAGTTAGTTGTCTTATGCACACTGTACAGGTGCACAATTAGTTGGTGGTGATAAATTTATAGTTATTAGTTAGTTGTCTTCTGCACAATGCACAGGCGCACAATTATATTAGCTATAGAATTTGAAAACATCGTGTGAAAATTTCTCACTCTTATAATATTTTTTTGTGCGTATGAAATTTAAAGGCCTTACATTTGAAAGTTCGCCCAGGGCCTCTCAAAATATTTGGAATCTCAGGGCCGGCCCTGAGAAAGTATAGAGGAGAGAGAGATGGGAAGCGATAATGAAGCTGAGAAGTCGGCGCAGAAGGAGAAAGAGAATAAGAAGTTGTTAGCTTTGGCCCCCATTGCCAAACCCCTTGCTGGAAAGAAGCTCTCTAAGCGAACCCTCAAACTCGTCCGCCGAGGTATCTATACATTTTTCTATCTATATATATATATATATATATATATGTTTCTGTAATTATATTGACCTGGTCGTCTTCTTTCAGCTGCCGAACACAAATGCCTGAAGAGAGGAGTCAAAGAAGTCGTCAAAAGTATTCGGCGTGGTAACAAAGGGTCAGTCAGTTTGAGTTTTTGCTTCATTGCATTGCGTTAGCATCATTATTTGATTTTTTTTTTTTTTTTATTAATTATGTGAAACTGTTGTAAACCCATCAGTTCATATGTTCTTTAATACGACTAACTTAGATACAAGTCTTTGCAAAACGAGGGATATTGATTTCTGTTCGACCGTGTGAGTTTATTTAGGTGAGCCTTGTTGAAAATGAAATAGCAAACTACAAGTTTGGTGACTTTGTTTTAGTTTCTCTCTGATCGTAAAAATTTCAATTTTATTTTAGATTTTGAATAAAACCCCAAAAGATGCTCAATTTTGATGCATCCGCTTGCCCATCATCTCATTTTAGATTGATGTTTGGAGACATAGGAATTTGACATGTTTCAGTTTTTTTTTGTTATTATTGGATTTTTTATTTTTTATTTTGTGGTAGTTAACTATGATTGGCATTATCATTGCATATTTGAGTGGCTTTTTTAGTACAAATATCTGATGTTGGGGTATATATGAGCAACAGGTTGATGGTAAGAATGATGTCCTTTGAGGTAGTGCTAGATCCTGATGACTTGGGAAAAGAGTGGGTCAAATAGATTTACCCAAACTAAGGAATATAAGGGAACAGACTACATCAATATGGATGAGCCAACATATACCAAGATAATGGAACAACGGTTATCTGGACTGCGACGGAAGAAGCAGGTGTGAAGTGATAACTACATCACTGAATCGGTTAAAGCATGCCCAAGGTGACTACTTCAGCCCATATAAAGATTTTAGAAAGCCATGCCTACTTATCCCCTAGATTATAGATTCTTGATAGGATCACCACCCTGCATCTTGGCATGAAAACAGGAAAATTGCAATACCCCCTTTATTTTCTTTTTGCAATCCTTCCCGAAATTACGCTATCGATCAAATGCTATTTTTAGTCTTTTTCTGAAGCATCAAGAAAGCAGGTTTTTGCAGAGAGTTGGAACACGGTCTTATAAGTCTTAGTCTTTCTTCTCCATCTAGAAAGGAAATAAGACTTCCATATGGAAGTTGAACTCAGAGTGAGCCCTTTTTCCAAGTAGACGAACCAGCCAGAAACATAAGGAGACGGAGAATGGGTGTTTTAGGGCGGGTCCCTTAGCGAAGAAGTCGGTAAGCCAAGCCCTCCTGCCGAATACTTTCTTTCTTAGTTTGAAAGATTTTTCGATTCTGGGGGCTTTGGTTGTAGATAAATTAAAATTGTAGATGGGGACATTTCATCATGTATGCGCTGATGTTGTTGTGTCAAATTTATCTGATGACTGCAATTTATCAAATTTGGATGAATTAGCTTTCCTTAATATCTTATTTAAAAGACTTTTTCCCCACAATCAACAAAGAGAATCGAACACATTAACTACCCCTCCTTCAGAAGCATGCCAGGCTTGCCAGCACTTAACCACTGTGCCGTAACAGCTTTGTCCTCCTATCAAAAGTAATGTTAGGAAAGTTAATTAGCGACAAAGTCAAAGCTTGGCCTCTTAAAGAAAAATAATGTTAGAAAAGCTTTCTAATATAAAGCTAAAGAGGCTAAACTAATATTTAATGGAAATTGTTGTTTTGTCATAATGATTAGTAGGCAGAACCACTTAAAACAAAGTATGTCTTGATATACAGACCCTTAGAATTTTTAGAAGAATATAAATTCAAAATGCAATACTTGAGATCTATCTTCAAATGATATTGGCAGAAATGTCTGAGTTACTTGATTTTCTAACTTTTACATACATAGTAGATGGGAAAGGACACATCTTTTGTATGGCATGTTTATTGAATTTGAAAATCCCATTTTTAGTCATCTAGAAGATTATATGTTACTTGGAATGGATTTTATATATTGATTAGTCAATTACTAATGTTCCAAAATTATGCAGGGTTGATGTTCTTGCTGCCAATGAAGTGATTATTCTAAATGTTAATTGATTTGTTAAGTGTTGATTTAAATTTTTCTTGAGCTTATCATCTAGCTTATGTAGAATGTTCTCAATTCTAAAGATCTCTTCCCCAGGATTGCTTTTGAAGTTGAAAATGAATGTTGTTTAACTTCTCATGTTTTCTCTGAATGCAGATTATGTGTCATAGCAGGGAACATATCTCCTATTGATGTCATCACTCATGTTCCAGTCTTGTGTGAAGAGTCTGAAATACCCTACATATACGTTTCCTCTAAAGAAGTGAGTTGAATTTTTTTTTTTTTTTTTACGTTTTCTTCTGAAAATTTTTTTAAAATTTTTTATTGTCTTCATTTTTTTTTTTCCTTCCTCCTGCTTTTTATCTAGAGCATCTTAAGGGTGAGTTTCACCATATCATTTCATTAATGTCATCCTGCTTTATTTGCTCAATGTATGAAATAAGTTCACTTCAGTTTTCTTAACATTTCAACGAGTCCATCAACATGCATGTTTATTATCTTTGGGTTAAGTTCAGTGGTTTGATTAAAATGATTCCATTTATTATTATTATTATTAGTTTTTCCCCTGGTGATTGTTCATATTCTGTCATGTCATCGTTGTAGAGGACTCTGTCCTTGAATTTATGTTACAATATTTGTATATGAAGAAGGCTATTGTGCTCATATTAAACAAAGAAGTTTACACAGCATAAATGTCCAGATTTTCCATCAAAATGAAATTATATGGGTCATAGGGCTTAGTTTTCGAGTTTCAGGAGGGGTAAACTTGCTTATTCATTTGCTGACTTGAATGTAAACCTGGACTTGTTTCACATTTATAATGGAGTATGAGCTGGGCTCATGTTTTCATTATTTACAGATTAGATTTTGACCAAATTCATCTCCGTCTGTTGCATGGTTTCAAAGCCATACTGGACATCAACAAAAAAAACATAGGGCTAGCCCAATGCACCAGGCTCACACCACTGCGGGGTCTGGGGAGGGTTAGGTTGTTTAAGTGGTTGACCATTCAAGCAAAATAATTATAATTTATTCAATTTATTGTAAAAGTGTCCTTCAAAGTAATCTGCTTCATTTTATAGTCAATCATGCATTGGTGACAAGCATTCAGGTGTAGGCACTCACTTATGGTAGTTAAGGTACAATATATGTTTTAGTGCATCGCTCATAAATCTTGACGGTGAGAACATAATGGACTGCTTTCTTCAGGATCTTGCAAATGCAGGAGCCACGAAGAGGCCGACGTGCTGTGTTCTGGTGCTAACCAAGCCCACCAAGGGGGAATTAGGCCAGGAGGAACAAGAAAAACTGAAGGCAGATTATACCCAAGTTGTATCAGATGTGTCCGAACTTGCTTCCTCTATGTTCTGAAGGACTACAAAAACTATGATATCTGTGCTTTTTTTCTCAATGATGTACTTTGTTTTGGTTTGAGATGCCATGTGGTTATTTATATATATCTGAAGCGGAGCTACATGCAGTACGTTTGCGTTATTTATTTATATGTGCTTGGTATCACATATCAACTCAAGCCCAGTTCCCGCATCTGGAAAAATTGGTTATCCAATTCTCTTCCAAATTAGTGGGTTCAAGTTATAGTCTCATTCTCATCTCAGAATTGATTTTTTTTGCAGCCGTGTAAAAGGATTGCAGTTTATTTTATTTCATTTCATTTATTATAATCTTTTTACATTTTAAAGCCAAAGGAGCCATATTTAAATCCGACAATTACCTGATAAATTCAAGGTTTTCTCATTACGCTGAAGATTGGTATTTTGGTTTACATGTACCAGTTTGAAGAGGGCCTCGCATTTGATGCATTTTCTTTAACTTGAATGCGCTTCAAGGATTAAACTAAAATGATGTTACTCCCAGGTGTCTGTAAGTAATGTCCTAGTTTAGAATTTCTAACATTGGCAAAGATTTTGCTTTCTTGGTAGGTTAATAATAATGAGAATAGGTACCTTGTGCTCAATTCCTCATTTTGCTCAGCTTACCAGCATTCTCGATGAACAGAATGACACTGGTAGTGCCAAACTAGGCATTCATCTTCATCACCCAATGCAGGACAACAATGCAATTCTGGGCATTGTTTTATAGGCTTCAATTAGTTTAGGATTCGTTCAAATTTAGCAAATCTCCTTTTCCTCAAAATTTCCATTGAGTTTATAAGAAAGTTCTAATCTGTTATATATGATGTTATCAAATAGGCCATCTTATCCTATTACAGTCCCTGTTTCTTGATACTCACTGCAGTTCTGGATGTTGAGCAGACACATCAAAAGCCGTACATGGCAACTATCGAAAGACCCTCCTTATTTATAGTCTCTTTTTTCCCAGGTACGCGACCCTCCTTGTTTATACTTGCAGGACTCGTAAAGTTACAACATTTAGTTTTAAAACTTCAAAAGGGCATTAAAGAACAAGAAGTTATATCTGGAGAGAACATCAATGCATGTGATCTCTCTGTGTGTGTCTAAAGTGAGAAGGGATGGCACGGCATGACGACGACGACGACGACAATATTGAAATATATACCATATATATGTATTATATTCGGTTTCATTTTCCCTTCTTTCCTCCTTGATTTACTTCTTGATTTATTTTTTTTATCTGCAACTTTATTCCTATATATTGTTTATCAGTACAATGTAAACATATCAAGTACTACAAGCAATAACAGAAATGTAACCTCAGTGGCTCTTGATCCATAAATGTAGATATGATGTGTTCTCCATCTTTCTCTTCCATTTTCCTATTTTACATCTTATATTTTCGCATCCTAAATTTAACATGGTTTCAGAGCAACGATCCTAGATTGTTTGCACCAATTTTTACGTTGTCTTCTCTATGGCTCTATTTGGAGCTCTGCCATTTTTATTTCCCTTTCCTTTACTGATTGTGGAGAGCGGTGAAGGAGAAGACCAATAAAATCTGATCCGTTTCTGGTTCAGATCTCTCTTTGTTTTCTCTTTTTCGATCAACCACGCACTTCCAAGCAACGTCCTGCACCGTCACACGCCGACTCTCATGTGAAGTAGATCTGACTCACGCATCACTACCCACGGATTTGACTCGCGCTACACGCTCCTACGAGTAGATCTCATTTGCGATACACGTGCCCACGCGCTCCTCCTTCATCGACGATAGTCAACCCTCTGAAGCGGTGACCGACTCACCATCGTTTCAGTTCCTGGTCAGAGAGAGGTTGTTTGTGTTCTAGCCGTTGCGAGGTGTGTTATCACCAGCCGAGTCCTTCGTTGCCACTCTCCACGTTTTTACACGCTTCGCCACCATCGTTACTATGCTCAGTTTGGCGAATATCGGCGTCATCTCCGAATTCGCTTTTGATTGCAGAGGCTTCCTTTGCTTTACTTACCTCTCATTCTGGCAACCTCTTTCTTCCACTACAACGACTATTTTCTCCTTCCTTGGTTGGTTTCCACCACCTGCAGAATTTTTGGGCAGTGTTTGCCTTATTTTAACGGGTTTTGTTTTTGGTGGGGTTTCTTTTTGAGTTTGTGATTTGTTGAAAAAAAAAGAAGACAAAACCCATTTACCTGCTTCGTTTTGGTATTGCTGGCTTTGTTCCAAATCTTTTTTTCTAGGACGGATCACCCCGATGTCTCCCGATATTGTTCCGGCCCATTCCCCGGCTTTGTTCCGATTATTTCCCGGCTTTGTTCCGGCCTTTCGGATACTTTTCGCTCCACCACCATTTTCAAGATTTCATTTCCAAACTCAAGTTGGCTTCGAGAAACCCATTTTGAGTTTGCGGGAGAATATATAGAAATATATATTATATATATGTATTACATTCTGTTTCCTTTTCCCTTCTTTCCTCCTTGATTTACTTCTTGATTTATTTTTTTTCCATCTTTCCTCCTTGATTTATTCCTTTTGTCAGCAACTTTATTCCTATATATTGTGTATCAATACAATGTAAACATATCAAGTACTACAAGCAATAAGGAAATGTAGCCTCAATGGCTCTTAATCCATGGGCATAGGCTTTAATGCCGAACCATGTATATGTTGTGTTGTCCAGCTTTCTCTTTTCCATCTTCCTATTTTATATCTTATATTTTCGCATCCTAAATTTAACAAACAATACTTCAACAGGATGATGTACAAATTCCTAACATGTTGCAAAAAATTCTCTAGCATTGGAATCAGTTTTGGGATTCCTGAACAAAAACGATACCTAAACCACCAACCGCCAAAATTTCAATTAAAGGAATCATTTTTTTCTGCAGAGTGCAAATTTATTGGAATTATCACCCCATTAATGGGGATTGTTCTTGGTGTAATAGGCAGAGGGTGAGAATGAGAATTTATGTGAAGCTTGATAGGGTGTTTCTTTTTCTGGTACCAAGTCTCCATACACGGTAACTAAATTCTCTTATCATTATGGTGTTTTGGTTCAGGTGTCCAAAAATTTTGCTTCTGGCCCAAAGCCTTTCAAAATGCTCAAAGTCTGGTGTGTAAAAAATGAGGTTCTTCCTTTGGTTCATCCTAAAACTATTAGTGGTTTGTGGATTACTACAGGAATCTGCTCTCAAAGAGTTCTTTTGAGGTTCTCTGTGACAGACACACTCTTGACACAGAAGACATGAATATGCTAGATGGTCCAGTAACTTAAGAAGAAGTGAAGAATGTGGTGATGAACTTCAACCCAGATAAAGCCCCGGCGCCTGATGGATTCCCAGCAAGATTCTTCCAAACTTTCTGGCCAGGGATTGATAAAGATGTGTTGGCCGCTATTCAACATTTTTTTTCCCTCCACAAAAAGGTTTACGAAGCCATTTTGTTATGCACAAAGAAACGACATACTTCTGTTGATAAAAGTATAGCAACTAGAAGTGACAAATTCGTAACTAAAAACCATATTGCATCAACATTGTTTTGACATACAACTTTACAATCACACACTTTACTTTCAATTTTTAAAATCATTAGTGTTTTGATCCTCAAATATAAAAATACTTGCTTGTAACAATTTTTTATAATAAAATAATTGTAATACAAACGTAACAAAAAAATTTATTTTAAATTAATATTTATATTTATACATAATAAACATGCATTATATAAAAAGTAATTATTAAGAACGATACAACATGAAATATGACCCCTAAAGCAGTGCAGTGAGTAAAGATTTTGAAAACAGTGAGTCTTGAAAGCACAATATAATACCCCCACTCAGATTAGTGAAGTACAAGAATATCTTACTGCATTGTATATGGGAGTTCTATTTGATGTGTACTTTGTTAGCGTATAGGATATTGCAAATCAAACAAGGGCAACTCTGGACATTCGTGCTCCTAATTTTTATGACAACTTATGAAAGGATGCAAAAAACATTTCTTTGGTCAACCATTGTGTGATTCCAATACATGACTAAAAAAGAAAAATGAACACATTAAACAATCCACTACAGGTATAAAAACCTTTAGGATGTAATAGAAAAAATGGTGCTTTTTTTTTCTTCCTTTTTGGCTCTATTGAGATTTTAGTTACAAACACAAGTAACGAAAAAATTTGCCCCTCCATAAGACCAACAATTTTTTTCTGATAGTTGGGCTGCTGGAAACGCGATTTAAGAGAGATTCATAATAGCCTAGGAACCCAATGCCAAATCACCTGCAATTGATAGTGGGACATGGGAAGAACTTCGTAAGTACAACAAACTTTATTCTTTTTTCATAGTGAATAATTTGAGGCCACTTTGGACCGTCCCTTAAATTTGAATGACCCTATTCACAATTTAGGTAACATTATAAATAGAAGTTCAGGACTTTGAATGGGGTTTTTTTGAAAAATAAAATTCATTGTATTCCTTCCTACATATTCATTTCCAAGTATATTTAAAACATCTTTTGAAACGTCAATGTCTAGTATCTTCCCAAATTGCTCCATTCAAGACCATGAATTTCTAGATTGAAATGTGCTTCATAAAGAGAGAATGTGACCATTCAAATTCAATGGGACAATCAAACAGTCACTTCTAAGATCAGAGAAGGAACTTACATTGAACATGATTAATGAGGATAATCTTACAAGAAGTTCTCAATGTTAACTTCCACATAGGAGCACGGATCAGGAATCTCAAAGTTAACTAAGACCTGAAAGATACATAAAAGCAAGATGAAGACACTGACCGAACATGGTTGCCATCATACATAATTAGGGAAATATATATAAAGAGATTGTTTCCGAATTTTTATGTAATATGGAAAGTTCAACTGATGGTAGAATCTCACCAGTGAGTATAGGTGAAGTACTACTGCCATAGAACATGATAAAAATATATTTTGGATATTAAACATCATGAAAATACACAAGTACGTGAAAGATCAGCAATCTACACAAACAGACAGCCACACAATAAAAAAAAAGTACTGAAATTACACACGCACAACAAAAAAAAAAAAAAAAAGGTCAAGAACCAGAAAAATCTATCAAGAGGCTAGCAATTGAATTGCAGAATTGCACAGGTACTGGAGTAAGAGCCTAGCAATTGAAATGCTAGCCTCTCAATGACATTGGACCAGAAAATATAAGGAAAGTCAAAGGGAAGAAAAAATTTCACTCCCCAAGGTGGTGCATAAACTTCCGCCATGTCCATTTGATTATTTCAATTTTACATACATACATACATACGTGTGTGTGTGTGTGTATATATATATATATATAGAGAGAGAGAGAGAGAGAGAAACTCACAAATAAATCATAAACTAAAATAAAGGACGCATGAGAACTACACCTAACTAAGGACCCCTGCCAGATTTTTCAGGCTCGACTCAAGGTCGTTTAGGGTTGACTCCCCTTGAGGCCAGCCTCAAAGTGAAGATCAATAAGGATTTAACCAAAAAAAAAAAAATTGACAAAGGTAACACAAAAGTTCTACTTGAATTATATTCAACATACCTCTGGATGCACAATGCCAAAACTGCCTATGTGCTTCCCTTTATAAATAATGTGAGCTTGTCTACCCGGAAGAAACTCAGGCTCCTTCAATATAATATCAAGACAGTTGTAAGTGCAGTATTGATAAACTACAAAGGCAAACAATGAAGTTTATGATGGCAACACTTACATCTGAGCATTTGATATAGTAGCCCGAGTTATCCCCAGCTTCTACAAATGGAGTTCCATTTACTTCCATGATTCTGTCCACCAAGCCATGAATTAACTGCAAAGCAAAAGTTTGAAGATGCAAAATGAAGAAAAAAAAAATGGTCAGATACTATCTTCCAAGGGGTAAAAAATTAGACAAGTGTGACAGAATTTGAACCTCAAATCCTGAGTTAGGACCACAATATAAAGCTGCAAGGTGGCGATGGTTTCTTGCACCAACATCTTTCGTCTCATCCAAATGCATTATGTCACCCACTTCAAATATCTAGAACCAAAATTATTTATTAGGAGAAATTTTAGTACACGAATGTTTATCGTATGAGAAACACGAAGCACATTATTATGCATAAAGGGGTAAAAAACTTCAAGGCAACATGCACAATAAGATCGCCATAAATATCACCATTAAAAATGAATAAACACAAAGTAAGAAAAAGCAGTTCAACAAGTTTCGCATACATTTGAGATTTCACGTCAACTTGCCCTCAAAATTCTAGCCTAAGGTGACATCTCCTATCACTCAAGGTTGTTAAAATCGGGATTCTACATAGAATCGTTTTGGGCTCCGTAGAATCGGAATCGTAGAATCGGATCGAGAATCGTAAGATTCTACCAACTAGTAAAAAAAATAATTAAAAAAAAAAAAAAAAAAAAAAAAAGGGTACCATTCCAAAGTTCAAATATAATATAAAAGAGAATGTAGCTCAAAAGGTAGAGCTCTCATGACAACTATGCAATTTGTAAGCTCTGAAGTGTGAGAAAATGAAGGTTTGAATCCGAATCCATAACATAAGTTCACAAATCCCAAATCCCAAACCCAAATCCTAATCCAAACTTCAAACAGCTCCCTTAAAAGAAGAGAACACAAATAAAATAGAAAAGGAACTAAACATAGTTACAAAACATAATGTAAAGAAGTAAAGAACAGAACAGAATTAAATGGTCCAGTCTTCATGCTTAAAAAAAAAAAAAAAAAATTGATCAAAACAGGAAAAAATAAATAAATAATTCGAACAGCAACAGAAAAAAAAAAATTTAATTAAAATTAAAATTAAAAAAACAGAATTGGGGATTAGGGCTAAATAGTGTTTTTTTCTTATTTATATGGACTTTTTTTGGGCCCCAAAACTGTGGACCTTTCTTATTTAGAGAACCCAACACTTAAGAAAGTGAGCCAGGCCAAAAAAAAAAAAAAAAGCCTAAACAACAAATATCTCAGGATCTTGCGATTCTACATAATTATTCTACGATTCTGCACAGGGAAACGATTTCTATACGAGTCGACTCGTTTTGGGTTGGTAGGACTGTAGAATCGTGCGATTCTACGATCCAGGATCGCGATTTTGACAACCATGCTATCACTCCCAAAGGAAGTGTAGGATTCAAGTCGTTCTTGAGGCACATGAGTCTGTAGGACTGTCTTAACAAAAGAGCAAAATAGAATAGAATAAAAAAATAAAAAAAAAGCAAGTAGAAACTAGAAACCACTCTTATTAAGGCCTATATAGTGATGGCAATATTGACACGCCATGCTAACACAACACAAGATGAGTGAGTTTGGGTTTGGCTTAAATCACGTTCAGGTCGTAATCGTAAGCGTGTTGTGTTCGTATTTGACCCGCCAACCCATTTATAACCCGATTCGGCCCATTTAACTAAATATGTAAGGAAAACGTGATGTAGTGTTAAAAATTGCCCATTTAACTAAACATGTCGGATAATTGCGTGGTGTTCATGTTAGAAATTACAAGTTCAACTAAAATTTTAATTAAACTTGTCTTCCCGTGTAGTGTCAAGTCTTGACTCATTAATTAAACAGGTTGCATGGGTCTTATCGTGTTACCTATTTATTGATCGTGCCGTGTTGGTATCAAGGTTATTTCACACGAAAAATAATCGTGTCACGTTCATGTCAACCCATATAACAAGATACCCATGTCATGACACAGCACAAATATGACACGGCAACACAAATTGCCACCCCTAGGCCTGTCTAAGCCTCCTGCAATCAAACTAAAGCACCAAACCTTACACCCCTGAAAATCCCAAAATGGAAATAATTTTATCGTCTTTTCTTAAAAGGTTGAAATAGGATCATCTAATGGGAAGAGATCCACCAATGGAGAAAATGTCTATCTGGTTTTATATTGAAACTACAAACTAGGATAACTCGAAAAGTTTTGATTGAATTAGGATCCAAATAAGTAAAAAGAATCAAATAATCATTCTATGAGAATTCCAATCACATTAGAAATTCTTCTATTACATTTATATATTTTATTACATATCATACAGGTTTATAATTGTAATTATTAAATTAGTCTAATTAATTTAACAAATAAATAATTAATAAAATAGAATCTTATTAGACATGCGCAAATATAAATTATATATACATTATATAAATATATATTCTATATAGTCTATATTCAGTATAGACGACATTAGTATACCAATTATACTGCTTATTTCCGAATGCAAACCCCCGGACACTTTAAAGAAAAGGATTTGTTACAAAAAACGCAGCGAACCAAGAACATATCATGAATCAAGACAATAAAACAAACACGCAACACACAAAGAACACAATATTTACGAGTTTCAGCATAAAGCAAGCCTAATTGAACATCCAGCGAAAGATTTCACTACGCGAAAATTAGGGGATTACAAGTTTTAGCCCTCAAACCCTAACTCTTCTCTCTCTCTTCCTGTGATTTTCAGTGTTCTCTCATTATCTCACTTCAAACCCTAAACGGCCTTATATACCGAGATACAAGGGAGCACTAACAGGGTACATGACCCACAATCAAAAACGGGTCAAAAAATTGGCCATGAATCGAAACAAACATTCAGGCCATAACATCACAAAGCGGTAATCTAAAAATGACCCAATTCTTAATTGAACACTCCAAGCCTCTGAATTATGTTAACTATTTGCAATTCCAGATGAATAGGCTTAGGGAATTGAACTTGCATGCATAGCACATGCACCCTTCCATTCAAATAAGTTGGACCATTGCTCGTAGATATTTCATGTAAATTATTCTCTTTATATTTCAAAAGTATCAAACTTAAGATATAACATTTATCACAATCCAAAAAAAAAAAACATCTAGCTTTAAAATGGGCCATCTTATATGCTTGTCTCTCCATCTAATTCTCCATCCACGTGTTAAATGTCCATAAAACTCTACTAACAAGATAAACAGCATAAGTTGTCAATAGCAAAGCAGAAACTATTTAAAAAAGTAATCCCACGTTACCTTTATGGGCTTTGGATGGTCTTTATTGTGCCTGGCAGTTTTTAATATGCCAGGCATGAGGCTGCTACGAACAACCTGTAGATATGCAGGAGCTGTTCAAGTTATTATACTTTAAATAGACTACACAATATGAAATGAGTAATGTAATTATCTAACTGCAGATACTGAGATACTTTAAATATGAAGTTCACATCATACAGAATTTCAAGAAAATGACACGAGGGACTGCAGCTATTACTAATAGTGATACTTCGCATACATCAGCCAAGCGAAGGGGGGATCAACAAGACAGCGCACATGAAAATACTCTTCAAATGCAGGCTTGTGATGGCAGGGGAGGAACCAGCGTCATCTCCACGGGTTGGAAGAGCCCCTCTACAGGTTAAAAGAACGGGTTTTTGGATATGCTAAATAGCTGAGTCAAAGGAAGGGTAGATACCTCTACAGTTAAATATATGGTCCTTTTAAATAGACCTGGATTCTTTTTGATATAGGATGCAATGCTAATTTATCTACATCATGTAAAGACAGCTTGTGTTCTGGCACTTTTTTTTTAGAGATATATCTTGCTTATCAAAGAAATTAAATAATAATAATAATAAAAGAAAAAGAAAAGAAAACAATAGGGGAACATTATGTTACTTCATTGCTTGCAACAGTGAAGGAAAAAACTTCTTCAAAAAAAAAGAAGGGGGAACCTCAAAATCAGAGGAACGGGGATTTTCAACGATCACTGCCATTGATTTGTCATCTTTACGATTCAGCATGGAGAAATTTTCTTTGTAAGAGCTCAGTATCCATGTTAACACCTCTGTATACCCATTCATTGCAATCTAAAAGGAAATAAACAAAAAAAAAAAAAAAAAAAGTCAGAAAAAGGTCAAGAAGATTATGTGGCAATCATATTACTAGAGGTTCATTTCACAAAATGTAAAACAAGCAGCAATTAGATGTCACGGTAACATAATATAAGTACACTGATTCTTTCATAATGTGAGAATACAAGTTAAAATATACGTCAAACTCACTGAAGTATGTATATAAAAGAAAAGCGGGAACTTGGAACCAAACTACTTCATTCAACTTGTATTACAAACCACGATACTTGAAGAAACGGATTTTGATGAAGTTAGGAACTCATCGTTGAGCATAGATACCTAGTATCTACCTGTTGCAACGTAAGTGCAACGGGGTAGTTAGTTTTCATAATATGACCACTCCACGTCACCTTTTTCCTCATATGTCACTGGGAAGACATCGAGGAGCACATCTCCTATCGATAAACCTCGAGGATTTATTGAAGACCTCAATGAGCTCCACTCCTACAGATAAATCCTCGTTGACTTGTTGAAGATCTTAGGAGCTCCTCTCCTATGGATAAGCCTTGACTTATTGAAGACGACAAGGAGCTGCTCTCCTATGGGAAAACCTCCAGGACTTGTTGAAGACTCCAAGGAGCTCCTCCCTTAAGTATAGACCTCGAGGAGCTTGCTTCACTCTAATGGATATAAACCTCGACGACATGATGAAAACTTTGAGGAGCTCGTCACCTACAAATAAACCTCGACGAGTTTAATAGTTTTTCTTCTACAGATAAACCTCAAAGATACTTTGAAAATCCCGAGGAGCTCCTCTCCTACATCAAGAAACTGTTGATCCTTACCTTCTCCACAAGCACAAAAGTGTTAAAGGCTCTAAGTTCCTCTCCTACTGATAAACCTCAAGTGTGCATAGAAAATTAATACTTACCTACCCCTTCTTTGAAACTTCATTATCAATGGCTACTTTTGCCAAAGACAACTACCTCTGAACCTTGTCAAATACCAAAGACCACCTCGTCTGTGAAATTTCAAGTCTCACCCCCTTTTATCCAAGGGTCCAAACCACAATAACTAAGCCAACCACTGGTTAAAAGACCATTTCCCCTCATTTACTATACACTAACCTACCAGATCAACCAAGTAAAAATAACACTAAAGAGAGTTTCCAGATTTTTCACGTACACCTTCCTACTTATCGAGGTGTCGCCTACTACCATCCCTTGATCCTTCGGAACGAGTTCTGTATTTCCCACCTCAGCATGGCAACTCACGCTTACATATAACGTGTACTAATGGGGTTTTATCAATTAAACCGGAACAAAACTTATTGAAGAGTGACTCGACTAAATCCGTATGCTAACAATCAAATCTTAAGCGCAAACAGGATCGTTCAAATCACGATATCCCGAATAGAACCTTGGGGGGAAGGGGGGGTGTTGAATAGGTCACGAAGGAACAATTACCATTTTTCACCAATTTAATCTTTAATACACAGAATTGATATATAAATCTCTGATACCACTTTACTAAAATCAATCAATTCAGTTCTATCCCAATAATTGATGATGTAATTGAAATAACTCTATAAAAACAAATAACTAGATAATCCGGCAATTGCTTAAAACACATAAATAAACTCACAAGCTTGATTGATTATTATATCATAAGCATTATAACTCAACATCCCAATCATTGAATCAAACTTGATAAAATAAATATACTCATCAATATGTATAATTAAAGCAATATAAAGTTTTAGTGGAAAAACCTACCCAACTCGTAAGTCGAAAAATCACAGAGGACCTAGTCCGACAAATTAATCCACTAAGAAGAAAGAGATGTACAACCTAGATCCGTTCAACACCTACCTATGTACTCTAGTTTATCTCCATACTCAGCAAGACACCAAATCTTCAACCACAAATCTCTTCAGGTCGTCCTTCAGTCAATCCATTTAAGTGCACTCTAACCCTGCTTCTTCATTGATTAATTTTCAGCACCAGTTCCCACCTATTCGTCTTTAAAATTTTGGTTTTGATTCTCTTCCGTATCGACTTAACATTGTAGCTCAGCAGCAATAATGTCAATATCACCATGACTAGTATGAATGATGTATGATGAAAAACATATTAAACAAATCGGTTTTGATTTTCTTCTATTCTCCTTTGAAAATGGAGGATTTTTTATTGGGTGAGTTCAAAGAAAAAGAAAGATTTTTTGGTCTACCTTACTTTACTTTATTTTTCTTTATATCAATAACTCAATCAAAATGCAATTATCTCCAAGAACAAAGTGTCTGTTATGCTTAATATGTTAGTTTGATCTATCTTAATTTTGCCCTTTATTCGAGTAATTTTTTCGTCGCCAAATTGCCTGCGGCCTATGCATGTTTAATGAAAAACAAATATATGAATTCTTCCTTCAAACTCACAAGATAAACTCACATATGTATGTATAAATAAAGAACATAAAGTTTCACTCTTGTAGTTAAAGAAATAAACAAACAAATAAACCTCTATGAAGAGCAAATCTCTCACTTGTATGTAACTATGTATACGTATTGTTCTTAGTTTTAGGGTTTACAGAAACTTTGTATTGATAAGCAATCATAGGATAACTTTTCATAAATTAAATGAGGAAATTTCTTAATGACAAAGTATATAAAAATTGCCTTTTTTCAGTTCTGTTGATTGATCGAAATTTAAGTGTGCTTATCGATTGATGCTGCATTGATGTCGATCGATAGAAGCTTCCTCTCCTATAGATCGACAGGTCAATTCTCAATAGTAAATCGATGTAATACTAACTCTCGATCGATCTATGGAGTGCATAATAGTTTATAAGATGCAAAACTGATCTCTGAGAATTGAGCATGCATATGTAACGATTTCCAGATGGACGGGATAGGGTATTCGTATATCTAACACATAATTTAAATGTAAAAATGTGTCCTCTAAAAAAGGAAATATTGAATGAATTGATCGTAAATTCTGAGATTTTACTATCTCTTTCTCTTCGAGGGAAGATATTAATCGTGACTTATCTGTCAACTTTTCCACTATCACCCCAAAAAAACCAAACTCTGCCTTACGTAAAGTTGCCAGAACTGATCTTTGAGAATTGGGCATGCATATTTAACTATGTTTATGAACGATCAAATAAGTCTAAGGAACTTTGAAACTCAATTAAATAAAAATGTATGCATGATCCTAAATAGTGATAGATGATTGTTCAAGTATGTATGTATATATATATATATATATGTAAAATTGTATTAGAAAGCGTTCAAAAGGGGAACGTGTCCCAAGAGCAATTGTTCAAGTATATTTAACTTCATAACCTTGTTTTGATGAAGACGTTGAAATTGTCTGTCGTAGAAGTTTCATCGGAACACTTCACAAAGCATATAACCATCACTTCTAAACATAAATATTCACTTCTAGACAATTAAAAGTATTGAGCAGAATGACCATAAAACATAGTCTAGAATTACATTTATGGGTTTTGGGCCTACAAAATTTGCCGACATGTAGATTTATAAACTTTATAATCCAAATATGTACATTCACAAAAGCAGCAACTCAATCAAAAAACACAAGGAAAAAAAATAAGTTATTGAAATTCTGATATGTCAAAATTTTCTTTAAACCAAAAGGGTAAATAGAAAAAAGTCAAGGCACCCCAAAGACTCAAGCACAAGATAACGGCAACAAGTTGGGGTTGGCATTAAGGAAAAATGAGAAATAGCATACCCAAAACAATAATAACCTTTAACACCTCCAGAGACATTTTTAAGTATATTTAATTCACTTGTAATAAGTACGTTGTCTCACACCCAAGTATATTTAATTCACTTGTAATAAGTACGTTGTCTCACACCCATCCACCTTGGAGGGGAAGGAGGGGATATTAAACAAAATGCATATTAAAAACTACTAACAGAAAGAAGTAATTCAACAACTGAGAAAGTACAAACAAGTTCATGCACTCTACCTCCATTCTGATAAGTTTACTGAGCTCGTTCAGAGGCAGCGGCTTCAAAAATGCAGGTTTTCTCTCTGGAATTTCATTGTAGCCATAAGCAATAGCAACATCCTTCACCAAAAAAATAGAATAATAAATAAGTAATGTTCCATGTCAAAAGAAAAAAGTTTGAAATGTAGTGCACAATGAGTTATCTTAGTGTCCCCTTTCTCTAGTTTAAGTATTACTTCCATACCTCAGCCACATCACATGGATGAAGAATATCACTTCTAGTTGGAGGTACAGATACAATGATATTGCACTGTTTATCTCCTGATACGGACTGCATAGAATGCAATTGCATTTTATTCAACAAACTGGTGACCTGAAATGATGAAGAAATGGGGTGAATACATTAGTAAAATTCTAACCAAGCTGCATTTCGTTGATGAGTTGTAATTGCATAACAAAAGAAACATTTTCTGCAGGACAACTGAATAACCTTCTCTATTTAAATTTCCAAAAAAAAAAAAAAAAACACACAATTTATAACAACGCAATAAACAATAGACATGACCTAGCATGTGCAAAATAAGTAGTAATAAAAAATATAAAAAAAATTAACCAAAAAAAACATCTGGATATCCCTGTGTTCCTGATAACAAAGTGCAATTTAGAGTACAACAAAACAATCCTAACTGATGCCATTACCACTGAAAGCAAATAAGACAAAGGCATACCATAATGTTACTTATTATTGGATTAACTCAAACCACCAAGTACATCCTACTACAAGAAAAGACCGAGTGGCAACTCAACCCATCCAACACCCAAAAACCACCCCAATAAAAGAAAGAAAAAAAAAAAAATCAAAATTAATATTTTTATGAGCCATTAAACAAGGACAATCAGGCAACTTTGATGATCTCATTTCACAACATTTCTGCAAAGATAATAATAATAATTTGATTATTTTCTTAACATAATAAATCTGTATTTTTGCTTATTTTAGTTTTTTCTATAATGGAAGAAGAGGCAAGCTATTTTTTGTAGAGTTATGACTTTTGTCCCTTGTTCTCTATACCGGAAAAAAGGAGAGTGGAAGCATATAATTTCCCTGCCAGCCACCATAAGCTATTGTTATTTTAGAAGTCACTCAAACAAACCCATAAGTTTCCATCAAATTCTTTATGGTTTAAACTGTTTATGCTGTTCTGTCTTTCTTCCTTGTCCATACCTTTAATTAAACATCACTTCTAGTAAGAATACTAACCTATTCCATTTTTTAGTGTTCCCGTAAGCATATTTTTTGCGTGTTACTGTAAGGCAGTTTCAACATGACAATTTATGGAGAAGACGGCAATCAAAAAATGGAAGAAGAGGCAAGCTATATTTTGTAGAATTGTGACTTTTGTCCCTTGTTCTCTATACCGGATAAAAGGAGAGTGGAAGCATACACATCCCCTGCCAGCCACCATAAGCTATTATTATTTTAGAAGTCACTCAACAAAGCCATAAGCTTCCATCAAATTCTTTATGGTTTAAACTGTCAATGCTGTTCTGTCTTTCTTCCTTGTGAATACATTTTTGCCCCCAAAAAAATGTCCATGCTTAAAACTTTTCTAGCCTTCAAAAAAGGGAACCAGGTTTGTTTAACCATAAAAATTCCTTATTTAAAAAAAACAAAAACAAAAACAAAAAAACAAAAAAAAAAACAAAACAAAGAGGAAGAAACAGCAGTGAAATGCGGAAATTACATTATCCCGAAAGCGATTACGATTGCTTCAAATATAAGCATATTCAGTATATAGAACTTATGATCACTTATTTATGGCAAGAATCGGCACCAACTGAAGACAAATTACTGAGAATTGTCTAAGATGGTTTCTAGCATGCAAAGTAGATTAAAGACTGCAAGTAAGAAACAGTAATCCACTTTTCTTTATTTCTAGGACAGATGAAAACAGTTTAAACATCAACCTCACTCTCTTAAAAACCAGTGGTGCTAAAAGAGCATTGGCAACTTGATTGTAGTTGAAAGCACCAAAAGAACAAGAGAAATGCCAATAATGTTGTATGTCTCAAAGCTCAAGATGGGTTAGGTTTCAAATAACTTCTTACTGAATTAGCTAAGTGGTCTACTAAGATTTTGGGATAAACAAACAGGAAGCAAAGACAAACCATAAAAGGAAAGCAATGAAGAAAAAGCATCCATATTACATGTGCCTCCATAAATGAAAGTCAAGTAAATAAAGGCAGTTAAATGAAAAAATGCACTTTGCTTTTAGTATATATGTAATCAATTATATTTTCAATCATTGAACAAATTGGGTCCTTTTAAGCTTCATTCATAAGGTAGGCATAACCAAGATAAACGAAATGACATATTAAATTACCTCATTTGCCTCCAGGGGAACTCCAATGTAACCAGTGATGTAAGATAAAGGCACCTCCATATGGTAGAGCGAGAGATCAGGATATACAAATGATTTTCCATCAGGGTATATCACTTCAACTGGTTCAACCTCAAACTTCTCTTTGCAATATACCGAAAACATAGTTACCTACGAGAATAAAGGAGAATCGTCAAACATCATTATCAGTCAGTATGAACTAAAGCTAAGCAAACAAGTGCTGTCGGAAACTACTTCATTTTCTCACCATTGTGTTTAAAACAATTTTGGCCTTTGTCAAATCAGTGGCTGTGCACTCGATGAACACATTATTTGTCTTTAAGGTAATGGCTGAATGTGCACCATTAATAATTGGTGGCAAAGACAAAACTGTTCTGCAAAAATGAGGAAAAGAAAACAGTTCTTTTCAGAACAAAGAAACCGCAGATATCGTAAGAAGAAAATGAGTGTTTAAATCTAAGCCAACTTCACATAACCTACAAAAAATTAAACAGATTGGGAGCAGAGAATTTAAGACTAATAAATTTTCATACTTTAGATTATATTGCAAACACAGAAGTATAAGATCAATCCTTAAAGCAATTAACCAAAATTTGAGTTTGCAAAAGCACATAAAAAAAAGGTGTAATGGAAAGTAAAAGTATTTATCAAAAAAAAGTGTAATGGAGAGTAAAAGCATCATCAATCAGTTGGCAGTAAGAGAGCTCAGAATCCTTAAAGTCAAACAGGCCTTATCAAGAACCACAATACCTGTTACGATCATATAAAACAGGGAAAACTGGTGAATCCTCAATTATGTGCAAGAACTTCTTCAGTTTCAAATCCGACTGCAGAGATATATAATAATATAAAAATCAAGGTCATGTGTTGATGTTGATGTTGATGTTTTAAAAACTCTAATGTAACACTATCAAATTATTATTCCCAGAATTAGTACAATAAGCATACAGAAAAATAAGAATTGAACTAATATAACATTTAGAAAACGATAAATGGCAAATTCAAGTTCAGAACACAAACAGGACTCACTTGGTAAAACTCCATCAATTCATCAGCTCTGAAGTTCTTCACCTAGAAAATTAACAAAGTCACGTAGCAATTTCAGCACACTGTTTATGTAAGAAACTTAAACGATGTTTAAAATAATATATAATAGAAACAGGATGAAGAAAATGTGAGGAACTAATTCAAGTGAGGTCACTTCTGAAGGGCAAACAAGAGAAAAAAGAAACCAAAGTTACCTAGAACATGGTTTGCTGAGTAAGTAAAACAGATGTGACTATACCGTACATAACTAGGGGTGGCAAATTACGACACAACCCGCCAACACGACATGAGATAAGCGAGTTTGAGTTGACCTTAAACGGGTTCAGATCATAAATGGGTTGACACGATTAACCCGTTACTTAACCGTGTCAGGTTTGGGTTGAGGGATTTAACCCGTATAACCCATTTAACTCAACATGTTATAATCGTGAATATAACATATGTAATATGTTACCTATTTAAACCCAATTACTATAGATAGTTAAGTCATTTCAACATAAACCTTGTCTGTGCCTTATGATTTTTCTTCTTATTTTGAATATTTGGGTTAATTGTGATAATTTATTATTTGATTAAATATTAAATGTCTCGTTTTGATAAACAAGCCATTAAACGGGTTAACACGTTTACCCTTTAATAAACAGGTTTGGTTAGTGTTGAGAGTTCTTGACACGATTATTAAATGGGTTAGGTTTGAGTTTACCTGTTCAATATAATACTCTTACATCGACACAACACAATTATGACTCACGAACACGAATTGCCACCCTTATACATAACTTAGCCTATAATGTGGTGACATAGCAGCTTATATAGGTTGCTTATTTGCTAGTTGAACTGTAATGCTACGTTTGGTATGCAAGAATGGAATGATGCCTATTCAAACCATTCATATGTTTGGTATGCAATTTAAAGTGGGAATGAAAATCCATTCCACAACTAAACCTATAGAATGGTCATTCCATTCCCAAGTAATTTTTAAAAAAAAAAATCAAGTTCCCAAAACACCCTCATGCTTCAAGTCCAAAAACTACCACCACCACCACAACCTCCACTGACTTCCACCACCACCACCACCTCCATTGCCTTCCACCACCGTCACTGTCATCGCCACCATTGTTGCCACCTTCAACCACCACACCGCCACCACCGCCACCACCGCCACCGCCTTCCACCATTACCACCTTTAACCACCACCACCTCCACTGCCTTCCACCACCGTCATTGCCACCACCATTACCACCATCACTGCCACCGCCTTCACCATCACCGCCACCTTTCACCACTGTTGCCGCCTTCCACGACCTCCACCACCGTCACTGCCACCGCTGCCACCATAGCTGCCTTCCACAACCATCACATCGCCACCGCCTACACTACCTTCCACCGCCACCGCCACCGCCACCGCCTTCCACCACTAACTTCCATCACCATCACCGCCTCCACCTCCACCACCACTTCCACCGTTACCGACTTCCATCACTACCCCCACTGCCGCCGCCGCCTCCATCGCCACGGACTTCCATCACCACCACCACCTTTCACCATCGCCACCATCACCTCCATCTCCACCTCCACCTCCACCTCCACCTCCACCACTACCGCCATCACCTCCATAAAGGCTTTAGGACCTAATGGATTCCAGTAGAGGCTTGGATGTGTTATGGTGGCAATGGCATGTCATGGAAAGCAAGTTGAATAAGATAATAAGAACTAGAAAAGATACCTAGTTATAATGTAAAAGTATCTTTTACGAACACATAAAGGGGACAATCAAAGTTGAATAATTTCAGACAACCAATTTGGATTTATGCCGGGTAAGTCAACAATGGAAGCTCTCTATTTATTTAGAATATTAGTGGAAACAAAATTTGAAAGATCTACATATTGCTTTTATAAATTTGGAAAAAGAGTACGATATTACATGATGGGTTTTACATAAGAAATGAGTTGTTAATTGATATATTGATGTGGGACGGATCGGAATTAAGCCCATATAAACTAACAAAACACATTCAAGATGAAGTTCCATGGTTCATGCTATTTACTTATGATATCGTTTTGAACGATCAAATTAAAGTTGGGACAAGCCACACATAAGAAATTTGGAGAGAAATTATATAATTAAGAGGATTTAAGGGAAGTGGGACTAAAATTGAGTATATGCAATGTGATTATAATAAAACTAGAAATACATGTAGTAATGTAGTGAAAATCACGGTTCATGAGGTACTACTGAGCAAACATTTCATTACCTAGGCTCGATTATGCATAGGGAGAAATTGGAAACAATATTAGTCATAGAATTAAAGCAGAATGGGCGAAACGGAGGAATGTTCTTGCATCTTGATCGATCAATATATACCTCTAAAACAAAAAGGTAATTTTTATAAAACAGCTATTAGAGAATCGATATTTTCCAAGACAAAAGGTTAAGTGGCTAAATTAGAACATATTCATACAATGTGTAGTAGATAATAAAAATGTGACTGCTGAGATGGACGCAAAGTAAGTTAAAATAAAATTAGAAATAAACGCACCCATGAGATAGTTAAAGTAACACAAAATGGAGATTAAATTAGGGGAATCGACTAAAATGGTTTGTCACTACTTCCGAATAGTAAAATGGTCTTCAAGAGGAGGAAGACCAAAACTAACATAGATGTAGATAGTTTGGAGAAAATATGACAGCATAAGGTTTAATTGAGGCTGTGGCCTTAGGTTAAAAGGAATAACGTGGGGGAGGCTATGTAGCATGTCACTTTTCCAGGATTTGGTATCATGCCATTTTATATAGGTTCACTCCAATACCTTGTCAAAACTGAAACACGAAACTCATACAAACACAACAGATTCCAAGTGCAAAGAAATACACGACCATAAATAGAAACAATTCATTGGGGATTTAGTTTTATATATAAATTTATATGAGAAAAAGAGAAGCTATATTTTCGATATATTAAAAGAAGTAACAACTTTACACACTATTTCTTTTAAAGTTATCCAATACCTAAATTTTCCACTACAAGATTTTGCAATTTTTCATCAGGTCCTTAGCAATATGAAAGGAAGTAAAGTAGGAAATGTGATAAGAAATGCAAATTGATAAAAGCTCTAAGACATAGCAAAACCAAGGTTGAATCAATACTCAACGCTAATTTAACTATTTCACAAGCTTTGACCAAAAATGGACAAGAAAAGAACATCCTCCCTGACCACCAATCATGGTTCAGTAATATTAAAGTGAACTTATATTTCTGCTCAGGAACTAAGAGCACTAGTGATCTTGTAACAACGGGATTCAATTACTACGTCAATTCGCTAAGAATCTAGATTCAGAATAAAAAAGCCTACCTGTTTCAACGGCACAAAGTTTATGTTTGAAGGTGGCAGGGCCTGGGGGAAATGAAAAAGGACAAATCAGTAATAATCAAACAATGACAGCCTTCAATCATTTCAAAAAAACATATATATGACAAAGCCTTTAAAAGCAAAAAATTTACAACAGATATTCATGGATATACCCTTGCAATTCGTCTACAATGCTCAAATATCACTTAGATGATGAAGCCTGAGGGCACACTTTGTAAGCCTTAGTAGCCGAAGTACAAAGGGAAGTATTAACTAAAATAAATCTAAACGAAGCATTGTTTAAAATTTTCTCCCCACCTCTTTACATGGAGCAAAAGAGTCGAGAATTGTTTTCTCATTCATGCCAAATGAACCAAAATATTGCCAAGAAAGCAAGCTTCTAAATAATATTGCAAGTGACACCTTCCAGCCTTATATAATAGGACATCCCATCATATAAATAACATGAATAGGGGACCAACCATGTGCCTTCTTCTGAAATAATTTATGTTCATCTCAAAAGGATTCAAATCATGCAAATCACAATGATAAAAAAGAATAACTTTAAAATAACGGATTATAGCATGTCTCCTAAGAAAAAACACAATTGAGCATAATGTTAAACAATTGTGGGGAATAAATTAACAGTAGCATACCTCATATGTGAAAGGGCCTTCTAGTGTATCCAAATCATGAGTTCCAATGGCGACAAGGGTTCTTCGCCTAAAACAAGAAGTGGATGAAACCATGCCCAGTGAAAAATTACATGAACTCATTGAAAAATTCAATAAAACCACAACTGATAACAAGAAAAAGGGAAGAACAGCCACAGCCAAATAGAACACTCGGCATAACTACAGAATGAAAAGAACAAAGAAAGAAAACTCTAGCAGCAATAGAATGTCGCTAAAACATATGGATGCTTTAAAATATCACTCTGGAAGGAAGGGCGCCTATCCAACCTTTTGATTGGTTGAGTGGAAAGGAAAGGAAATCGGTGGCCCCTTCATCTGTTTGGTAGAAGGGGTGGAAAGAAATTGTCTTGAACATATTTTCATTTCAACAAAGTAATTTGGTAGATAACTGAAAGGTAAAAATGTTATTTCATATTTTTGCAACAATTATCCTTCTTTCCCTCATCTCTTCGGCCCATTTTTTGAGGGATGAGAAAAGGTGGGCCCGGAGGATGCCTCATCCCTCCTTTCTTCCCCTCGCTCTTCCCTCCCTCCCTTCCTTTCTTCCGTCTTTCCTCCTTCCTTCCAACCAAACAAAGCATAAGAAATAGTTCTCAAAGGTAAGGAGAGGCCACAGTTACCCATCTTTCAAGAATACCACAAAACATAATACTTTGAAAATCATAGCCACCTCCTGGCTCATAATTTAAGTCATGTGTTTCCTTCAGCTCCTTAATCTTATCAAAAGCAACTTTGATAACTTAGACGTGGGCAAATATATCAGTATAGCAAGCATGCAATTTTTACAGGGAAAAAAAAAAAAACAAATAAAGAAGAAATTATTTTAAATTGTGGAAGGCATGTATCACAAAGCTTCTTATTCCTAATGCATTCTATTTTATTTCTTGTGTCCTACTTACTTCCGAATTGTTTAGATAAATATTTCATGACGTGCAAATTTACACGAGTGAATCTACCGATTGAATCACTGAACCAAAATTTTTCATTCCTATATTATACTACTGGGAGGACATAAATTATAATTAAGTAATGACAAAACTGGACATGAAAAAGTTTAGTATAAATAAAAAAGAACACTGAAGATTTAGATTCCACGCGTCCAAATTTTGCATTGTGCAAGTAAGATCAGTAATGAATTGAAAAACAAGAAGCAGTCAAGCTATACTGTATAATTGAAACCATTGTTCAATGTGTTACCGGCAAATGTTTTGATGGAGCCTATCTTGAAGTTCAATAAAGCTGTTATATCTTGCTTCATCAAAAGCTACCCCTCTTAAAACGGCACAAACAACATAAGGGCGAATCAAAGATGTCTGCAGAGGAAAAATGATGACAATAATAACCGCAGAATAAAAATTAAAAGAAAAGAAAAAGGAACTCGGTATCAATGAATGACATGCAGTAAATCAAAACCCAAAATGGGTTGTTACTCTGTTATATATGTACCTCTGGTTTTACATGCATTTTAAGCATGGATTTTGTACTAATATCAGACATTTTGTATGCCGGAATAGGATCAAGCCCACTAAAAATGCGGAGGGATTGAGCAAGCCCTTCAAGGCAAAGCAAGTCATATCTGTGTGTCAACAAAACAGCATAGAATCATTCCTCTTAGCTCGTACAAATTAATTATATAAATTCGCTCTCGAGTTGAAACACTTGTGTTCGTTTAAACTTCGCAATTCACCCATTTTAAAAATATATAATTATAAAAAAATCGTGCAATAATTCCCATACAATCAATTATCAAAGTAGTACCTATTTGCCGGAACTTCAATTTTGTAGATAACTTCTTCGTCCTCAGTAGCTTCCTCCTCCAAGTGTTTTTCCTTTCTGATGATGGCCCTTTCAGTTGTCTGCGTGCTTAGTTTGTTAAGAAAATTGAAATTACAAAGCTTCTTTTACCGTCCATAAACGTACATATAGGCATGCGTGTAAGTGCTTACCACATCATCAAGCTCGATTCCAAACTTAAAGCACAACTCTTCAAATTCTTCTTGAGCTGAAACTCATACACATATGGATTGTGAGATTGAAAAAGATTGAATGAAACTACACTGAAAATGATTGGTGAATGATGCGTAAACGTGTGATTTTGATTGGTGAATTAAGTAGAGAACACTAGAGTTCTTACTGTATGTTTGTCCTAGGGCTTCGTAGAGACGGTCTCTTCCAACGCTGACGGTTGGCATGGCGGCGAACTAGGGCCGGCCCTGAGATTCCAAATATTTTGAGAGGCCCTAGGTGAACTTTCAATTGTGAGGCCCTTAAGTTTCACGCGTGCAAAAAAAAAAAAAAAATTATAAGAGTGCGAAATTTTAACACGATGTTTTCAAATTATATAGCTAATATAATTGTGCGCCTGTGCATTGTGCATAAGACAACTAACTAATAACTATAAATTTATCACCACCAACAAATAATTGTGCGCCTGTACAATGTACATAAGACAACTAACTAATAACTATAAATCTATCACCACCAATAAATAATTGTGCGCATGTGCAATTTGCTTAAGACAACTAACTAATAACTATAAATTTTTATCACCACCAATAAATAATTGTGCGCCTGTGCAGTTTGCATAAGACAACTAACTAATAACTATAAATCTATCATCACCAATAAATAATTGTGCGCATGTGCAGTGTGCATGAGACAGCTAACTAATAACAATAAATCTATCAATTAAAGAGTGCAAAATTTTCACAAGCACAAAATAAAAAAATGAAGAGAACAGTTTACTGGAGAACAGAAAACTGCAGCTTCTTTTACATTCATTGTTTATATAGCTACTAAAATTTGATGATTACAGATGACAAAAATATGTGGAGATGAGGTGACTATATATATTATAGGAGGCTTAACTTGTAGTACTGAAGAAGTAGTGGGACTTTTAGGTTATATGTGGCATCCACTATCATATATAGTTTGTCTTTCACTCTTTGTATTAACTACACTACACTTTGCGTATGTTTTTTTTTTGGGAGCCAATTGCCCCTTTCTTGATTTCAGGATGAGGTATCAACTTTAGTAGCAGTGATTGGTTGATCATCGCTACAGAAGACCTGTGCAAATTAATAGAAAAACCATTAACTTTTATTTTGTTAAAGCTTGCTCTTGATTTCCATGTGTTTGTACATTCTGATGGCAAGTGCTTTGACAGTATTATTAACTGAAATTCTAGCTGAGCCAACTTCAAATAACATCAATAATGGTGGTATGTATCTTCATATAAAAATAAAATATAAAAAAAAAAACCCTTAATTTGGCACTTTTAAGTATGAGCATAATTTAGAGATCGAAAAAGTTAATTCTTATCTCAAAGGCTCAACCCACTAGAAGGGATCCTTAATTTTCGTAGGATTGAATGTGAAAATGCGAAAAATTACGAGGAAAAGGGGTATGGTTGCTGCTGTTGTGAGATTGGAGTGGAATTATGGAGAGGAAAAAAAAAAAAAAAAAAAGTACCTGCCATAGATTATGGACTCGATCGCCATGAAAGACATGTAGAAAGGCATACATTTATTAAAATACTAAGAGAACCATAATATATTCATTCAGCTTTTGATAGCCATCACACACAGTGACACACACACAAAAAAAAACCTAGTTTGGAAGCTACTTTTCACTATTGGAACAAAGGTAAATGCCCGAATCAAACGAACCAAAGTTAGAACAAATCAAATGATGAGATGAACGAAAGAAATAAACATATATAAAAGATCGATTCATGCAAAAGGAGAGAGAAGAGAGAGAGGATGAACATACCTTGTCACCTGAGGCGATAGCGAAGGCTGCGCCCTGCGGAGTGTCTAAGCAGATTGTGTCGTCTGAAACTTGCCCTAACTTAAAAATATATATATAAAAAATTGAGGCACAAGGCGACCAAGACTTGTCCTAATTTATTTTTTTTTAATATTTTGGAATTTTTGTTAAAAGACTAAGGATCCGTTTGGTTAGACAGAAATGTACGATGGAAAGTGAAAATGAAAGAAAGTAAAGTGAAAGGAAGAAAAATCATGTTTCCAGCATGCATTTGGTTAGCAGAAAAAAAATTCATGAAAGTTATGGGAAAATATTATTTTGCTAATTTGGATAGCGAAAATAATTTACTTACCAAAAATACCCTCATGATTTCAAATGCTTAAAAATAAATTAATTTTATGTTAGATGAATCATCTTTATACTTAATTATTTATATTAATTTTTAACAAATAAATAGTAAAATGATGGATTATTAATAATAATAATTATTATTTATATTCATATTTAAATTAGAACAAACTAAGGTGGACTGGATTTTAGCTATCAAATTCTTTTTATTTTGTGTTTTAAATAATAATTATTTATATTCATATGTAGAATGTAGTTCATTTATACATACTCGTGTTTTTATTGGAATATTAAATATAATATTTTTTGCAAGCCCCTCGAAGAAACACTAAATGACAATACTCTAGGATAAAATTGGTCATGCAAAAGTAACATTTTATAGTTAAACAATAATTCTTTTTGGTTCATGCATAATTTATTGATCCACTTCCATATGTTATGACTATGAACCATGCAAAAATTTTTATACAAAAATCACATATTATTCGAGTATAAAACTCTATTAAGTTTCAAAACTGTATAGATAATAAAAAATAAATATTATTTTGATTTCTATTCATATGACTCTAATCCATGTCTTCTCATATATATATTGAGATATTGGTAAAAATTAAAAGTAATATAATTCTACTATTCAATTCTTAATTTATTTTAAACAAATTAGATAACAACGGTATTAGATATGATGAATCCAAATATGTTTCCTAGTAAATAGATGGCATAACTTAATAAGAAGAAAATTGGAGAAACAATTCAATTGGGGCATAATAGGAAATTTAGAAATTAAATAACAGTTTCGAGCAAGAAAGTAAACTTTTTTGTGTTTTATGCGGGAAAATATTTTAGAAAAATTTATCCGAAACGGGAATCCACTTTCCCCAAAATTTTCTCTTTCTAGGTAACCAAACTCCAAAAAATTTAAAAAAATATTCCGTTTATTTTCCTTTCTATTTACTTCACGCTAACCAAACAAACCCTAAAGGGATTCTTTTTTTTTTTTCTTTTTTTTTGTATATGGTAGTTTTTAGTAATTAGGGTTCTTTTTTTATTTGTATAGAATATTAAGAGCAAGTTTATTTTTGAACAGTTTCCTTGTATTGTTAGTGTCCTTGCATTTTTAGGATTTTTATTTATAAATACACATATTATAGAGCAGATTATTCATTTAATTATTAAATAATATATCAGATTTATCTAAATTATTTTTATGTTTTGTGAATTCAAAACACCCATCTTGTGAATTCAAGTTTGTTTCTAGTGAACAAATTTACTGCTTCCACTTAAGTCAATTATGTAATGATGAGACACACATGCTCAAAATTCGTACTCAAATTGGCTTATTGGAAACATTAAAAAGGAATAAGGAGTATCTGATTGTTGAATTAAATAAAACCCATTGATTTGTAGGGTTTTATAGTAACTCCACCGCATGTTACATATATATATATATGCAATTGAATAAAACTCCCTTCACTTGGTACATAGTGTCCTAATTTAGGCGAAAAATGAGATGAACATGGGTCAACCGATTAGAACAAAGGAAAATAAAATTTGCAACAATTTGTTACACTAAATTGTTAGACCTATATATATATATTTTTTAATTAGTCTATTGTAAATAAAGGAGAGGGGCCCTCCATTTGTCTTGTTATAAATAATCAATTTTGGATTGAGGTTAGGTTGGGACTGGACTGGGTTGGCCAGCCCAACTTACAATCATAATGTTAATTGCAAAAAGGATATTTTGGTAAAAAAAAAAAAAATGAAAGATGGACTGATTATGAAAGATGAGAGTTGGAGCCTAGGCCCTAGTAAAGGACAAATGATATGTAATGATGAGATTTTTTTTCTTTTTTCTTTTTTCTCGAAAATGTAATGATGATATTAAAGAGCACGAAAACCGTTACATAACAAGCCGTACCTCTCCAATTGTTATGTAATGATGAGATGCACACATGCGCAAAATTCTACAAAATTCCTACTTAAATTGGCCCATTGGAAACATTAAAAAGGAACAAGGAGCATCTAATTGTTGAATTAAATAAAACCTATTGATGTGTAGGGTTTTATAGTAACTCCACCTCATCATATATATATATAATATATAATTCAACGAATTGTATAAAGAGAAATGATACAACTTTCAATTTAATCTGCTCGATTTATCTTCCGAATCTAACGTGGGTGGGCCACTTAGGCACCAAAAAAAACACTGTTCTTTCTTTCTCCATTCCCTCTCCACATTTCCCCTTCTCTCTCTGTTTCGGGTTAAACTCGCTCTTTTATTTTTAAATGCAATATTCAGACAAATCACAGAGGTCAAAGGACCGCTGTAGATAGGGGTGGCAATTCGGGTTCGCGTGTCATAATCGTATCGTGTCGAACTAGGGGTATAACACTAAACATGTCAACCCGAACACGACACGATTAATAATCGCGTCACATATCCTAAACCTGAACATGACACGTTTATTAAAAAAGTAACAGGACATGACACGTGTAACCCGTTTAATAAACGTGTCGTGTTAGACACATCAAACACGACTTGTTTAACGACATGTTTAACGTGTTTAACATATTTACCCGCTTAACCTGTTTAACATGTTTACCCGCTTAACCTATTTAAGGTGGCCAAAGATTAAAATACTAGCAAACATGACTAGAAATTTTGTACTGTGATGTAGTCCAAAAGAGAGATTAAAAGCCAAAAATAAATATTAAGTCAGAAGTCATAAGTTATTACAGACCGAAATAAAGATAAGTCATGAGTTATTACAGACCGAAATAAAAATATTTAATAGAAATGTTAGAGTAACATGCAATCTTCTTAAGCCCAAAATCCACTCAAAAACTTCCTTCTGCAATTTGCATGCACTCTTTTTCTGAAACACCCAAAAGTACAAATTCCTACAAAACAGGTAAGTGTAAAATAAGTTTAGATAAAAAAAATAAATAAATAAATAACAGATTGAAATATAAAAGAATGTATGTAACAAATTATGTGAAAAATAAAACAGATGCAGAGGGCTTTTTTACCTAGTTGGATTTTAATGTTCGGTCACGCTAACACTGGTGGAACATTGGCCTTCAGCAGGGTCATCATTATTGATATTAAGTTTCATTACATCATCAATCAAGTCATCCGCTCGAAGCTTCATTGTATCTATAGTAAAACATACACAAAAAAATCATTACTTCACTATTCTCTGCAATAATAAAAATATAATTTGAAGTTTATTATAAGTCACTTACCTTTCAAACCAAAAAGCCAGTCCCTTGTGCATACCAAAGCTTCCACATTTTCTGGTTTAAGTGCACTATGATATTGATCAAAAACCCGACCATCAACACTAAACGCAAACTCATAAGCAACTGTAGTGATTGGAATGCTCAATATATCACGAGCCGTTTGAGCAAGCACAGGATACCTAAACTGATTGGCTTTCTAATAGGTAAGCACGTCAAGGTTCGCATTCCTATTGATTTTTTGTTCATCTAAATAGAGTTCCAACTCTGATTTTTGGACATTTCCAAGCAATTTATCATTCTCAAATGAGTCAAATTCCTACATTACAGAAATTATGAAAAACAAATAGATCAATCAATGTCAAAAGTAGAAAAATAAATAGATGTAATGAATAAAATAGGCATTAAAGGAATTTAATATCTCACAAAAGTATTATTCACCTTCATAACATCAATGAACTTTTTAGTTAACTGTCCCTCATCAACATGCTGGTGCTTACTTCCATCATTTGGTGAAGATGTGGATTTGGTGGTACAAGCTATAGGAGAATTCAACAAAAATTAATCAAAAAGGTTAAACAGTGCATCACGAACTAGTGTGCTCTCAATGTTGTTATCACCATTAAGCTTGTTATAGTTAAAAATAACAAACCCAAGTTTGTATCTAGGTACTAAAATAACAGCAATAGTAAGGATTATGTTATAATCAAACCAATACTTTGCAAACTTTGAATACATTTGAGTTGCTATCTTGCTCGTAAACTGATCTCTACTATCCATTTCCTCTCGTAATGTCAATTGAACCGAAAACACAGATGAAAAGTACAAGTTTGCCGTGGGATACTTGGATCCAGAAAAGATGTTTGTAACATCATAAAAAACAGTTAAGAACTTGTAAATCTTTTTTATCCTACTCCACTCCTCTTAAGATGGGCAAAACTTGTAATTTGAATCACTCAACTGCAAATGACAAAAAGCCCGACGATAATAAATGGCAGACTCAAGCATAAGATGTGATACCCTCGAATTTCTGAATGCGGGTTGGCCAGGCCCACGCCCGAATACCCAAGGATATCAAAACAAATTGATAATAAACGAACACAGAGTACAAAAGAATAAAGAAGAATAAATAAAATACTGACAAGAAACTAAAATGATAATCTAATAATAAACCTCATAATATATTTCCATTAATTAATAAACTCTTTTGATAGAACTGATCCTCCAAAATACAACTCGAGAATCCATACTGTGTGGACCCCTAGAAAATCCAAACTAAACAAATGACAGTAATCTAAAACAGGAAACTGAATCATAAAGGAACTCCTATGTAGCATCGGAAGAATGAAATAGACTGATCCCCACTCAGCACGAACAACCTCTACTCGTGACGAACACCTGAAAAATAATGGTGGGTTAGACCCACAAACAAGTTCTACTCTACTACAGTCCAAGCAGAGATCCGATACACGTATATATCCTACTCAA